CATTTAAAATTCATAGCAATAACTGTACATTATAAACAACAACACTGATCGACACGATTAATTGATTATCTTAAAAACGAATTTAATGTTAGTTAAATGGTACAATTCTGGACTCTTTATTCATTAGATCAAGCAACCCATTTTCTGGAAGGTTCGCATAACTTAGAGTGCAGCGTTGTCTATAATGTCTTGTCGAAAAGGAAATGTGAAGCTTGATCCATGAGTTTGGTAGCTGCGGATGCCTGCCTCTAGAAGGTCTTGAATTGCAAGTTCAAGACTTGGTATAAGTCTTGGACTTGAAACTCAAGACCCGGCATCCCGAGTCTTGAAGTTCCAATTCAAGACCTGGGATGAATGTGTTTTCAGCCCATCTCTCCAAAGCCAGGGCTCGAAACTTTCAATTTTTGTCAGTATCCAAGTGGATATCAGCACCATAGAATCTAGTATCCATCCTTGAAATATAGTATCCCAGATTTGGATACTAGATATTCTATTTCCAGTATCCAAGCAAGGCAAAATATATTTTTTATAAAACAAGTGCAATATTATAAACTCCACTCCTCCAATAATAATTATATATAATTTTCACATAATACTGTAAGTGTTTTATGTTTATAAAATAAACATTCAGACCGTAAGTAATATTATATAAATCATATAGATTATTTAGTATTATTTATTTGATAACAGAACAAATATGGTAAACTTAAGTGAAAATGTCTTTTTCATGATCAAGGGTGGGTTGACTACAAAATTTTTGTAGTTCGCTATAACTACAGCTACTTCAAAAATATGTAGTCAGCTACAACTACTGCTACTTTTGAACAAAGGTAGTTCGCTACTGACTACAGCTACTGCTTAAAAAATGTAGCGAACTATTTCGCTATTTCGCTAATCTATATTTTTTAGTTTTACTGTATTTGGAGCATGTACTATTAACTCAGGCTGTAACGTAACCTATAACAAATCGACTTACGAGTAGCAACAGACAACAGTAAACACAAAGCAACATTTTTGGAAGCACTACAGTGTTCAGGAGTGCAAAATGACCACTGAGTATTGATTTTAAGCAGACCGTGTCTCAATATCATGCTATTCTATCAAGTTGCTAACAATTTTAAAAAGTAGCGAATAGCGATTCGCCGTTTGAAAAGTAGCCAACTACTTGGCTACTTTTAGGCAAAATGTAGTTCGCTATAACTACAGCTACTGTTTTAAAAAAGTAGTCAAAAACTACTGGCTACTTCGCTACAGTAGTGAACTACAACTACTTCGCTACTACCCACCCTTGTTCATGATGCAATTAAAACTCAAATCCATAAAATTCTGAGTCTGACTCTGAAGAATCTGATCAAACAATGAGGCTCCATCTATACGCGATACTGGTGAAGCTGTTACAGCATTCGGGCCATTTGGCATATCTTGTTCTTCACTGTCAGAATGAGAAGCCAAACTATCAATATCTTAAACATTGTTTTAAATGATTAAAAATTTTAAAAATCGCAAATATATTCGTGCTTCGATTCCTGAATTTAAATATACATGCGGCATGCAAATATTTTGCAAATATTTTACGTTTTGCCTTCAGTTGCTAAGCAACAAACCAGGCCTTTAGTTTGAATAATAAAAATATGTATTGAAATTCGAAAAATTGAAAATATACGCACTGCGACGATATGAAAGAAAGCACCGTTTGTGAATTTTTTTTTTTAACTATTCTGCCAAAATCCGTAGACATTGAATTTCAAAAACATGCCAAACGTCTAGATGATTATCTACTATCGCAATTTCTAAATTTTCCTAGTATCCAGTTGGGATACTGAGCTTATGATACCCAGTATCCAAAATTAAAATCTGATATCTCGTGGATATCAGCAGGGACGCCGGAACGATAATAGGGCAAAGGGGGGCGGACGCACACCAAGGGCACCTTTACTGAAAAATTTTTTTTCACTGCAAAATTTTTTGGCGACCTCCCCCCAACCCCCCCCTCCGTCGCCAAAAAAATTTTGGTCAGTGTACCATTTTAGGGGTCAAAATTTTTTTCCGGACATACAAAAATTTTCCGTGAAGCCAAAAAGTTTTCCGGATATCTTAAATTTTCCCCATTTCTTCAAAATATTTTTCTAAGTTCCAAAAATTTCCCAAAATTTTTATAAATATGAACTATAAATTACCTGAATCTCGTGATTTTCCTACAAAAAGTATCGTTGGAAATGTGATTTATCACGTATTATTTTACAACTAAAAGGGCACTTCTGCCCCCCCTGCCCCCCTTGGCAAAAGGCAAGGGGGGCAGCCGCCCCCCCTGCCCCCCAGTTCCGGCGTCCCTGGATATCAGGATACCGCAAGTTTCGAGCCCTGCCAAAGCCCACCACCATCAACTTTTAATGCGAGGTCTTGAGCAAAATTTTAATACCAAAATCGAGCAACGGCAATGGGTGTGGTAGATATATCATTATAGTGCCCAAGAGTCTAGCGGTTCCCAAATAGGTTTTGATAAGTTGGAGGAGGATGCGGAGGGGGCGTAACAGGATAGGGCGGGGGAGGAGCACTTGGAATTACTGTTTCATTATCGTCATTCCTATTTCCTGCAAGTGATTTATTGGATTCTACGTTGCCAGGATTATTTATTTCTAAATTTTGGAATGGCATAACAGGCATTTGTTGCAAGACAGTCTGGGAGGGTAAAATCCCTGTCCAAGGTTGAGTTGGCAGGGAAGATTGGATATCGTCGACAAACCAAGCACCAACGGTGCTTTGCAATCCCGCACTATAGATATTTTGGTGGCGGTTATTCTGTTGGAATTCCATTTCTATAACACCTGTTTGAGACGGTTGAGTTTCCATCCTTTCCTGCTTGCGTTTGGAATAAATATATCTGAACACAACACCAACCGCAGTAATAATCAATAGCGCAATTCCGACTGTAATGCCGATTACCCATGCGGGAACATTATTTGGACACTTGTAGCATTGATTATTAGAGTCACAGCATTCACTGGAACCACCACAATCACTGTCTTTGTTACAAAATTTCTTGAGACAATTTGAATTACAGCTTCTTTCATCAAATGAGTATTGCCCTTTACAGCAGTAATAACCGCTACCAAATACATTGCAGTCGTCATGGGAATAACAACCGTTTTTGTTAAAACATTTCTTTACGGGTAGTTTAGGGCACTTTTTATCATAACGACTATAAACACAATCACTGTCTGGATAAATGCATTCCTCTCCTGGAGCTCCACAATCGTTGTCCCATAAACACCCTTTTCCAATGCAACTAGAATTGCAAGCATACGTGCAACAGTATTCACCAAATTTACAATCGGAATTAGAGATACAGTGACATCCAGATGTTGTACATTTATTTGCAATGCAACATTCCCCTGGAGCGCCACAGTCTTTAGCTGCGTTACAAAATTGTCCCTCACAAGTTTCTCTGCACATTGCCTGTCCGTTTCTCTTGCAGCAATATTCACCAAGAGGACATTCGGAATTATCTTTGCACCTCGACTCAGAACAATATGCACATATGTTATCTCTACAACATTCGTTCAAGCCACCACAGTCACTACTTTGAGCACATGTTTGGCCAATACAGCCAGCTGTCATACACCGACTTTTGTCGTAATAATACCGTCGTTTACAACAATATCCAGAGCCACAGGCAGAATTGGAAGAGCACTGAAGGCTAGAACATTTAACACACTTCTCTTCATGGCAACATTCACGACTAGCACAATCTGTGTCAGCTTCACATCTAGCTCCAATGCAAGAGGAACGACAAAAATTATCTCCCTAAGATTGTCCCCTCCCACACTCGTCATTATTTCTGCAACCCGGCTTTGAGCAATTAACACACACATTATTACGGCAACATTCTTGAGTGCCACGACACGACCGTGTACTGTCACAATCCAATCCAAGACAATTTTCTCTGCAGCGGGTTTGTTTCTCCGAAAATACATAACAACATTTCTTTCCATACCCACAGTCAGGATAGTTGTATCTACATTGTCGACATCCTTTGAACGCATCCGTTCCTAGCACACAGCACTCCCCTGAAAGACGACAATCAGCGTCGTTGGCACAACTGCTCGAACACGTAAACGATTCGCATTTTCCCGAGCGATATTGGTCAAATTGCGACGTGAGACATTTACAACAGACTTTGTAATCATTATTTGCCACTGACAATAGCCTCACTTCAAGAAATACTGCATATACAGCGAATAATAAAACTAGATGCTTTACCATTGTGAATTCAAAGAATATAATTCGCTATTCGTTTAACTGACTTAAACGTCGCAGATTTTTAATTAACTAAACACTGCATTCAGTTGAACAATTTAAAGAAGTGCAAGAGTCAGGAAGCGGTTTCTCTAATGACGTCAATAGCTGTATGGCTGAAGGTCACTATTTGAACACTGCATTTAGTTGAACAATTGACCAACTGCAATATTAATCAAAATTTTGATCTCAACAAGTCTAGACAAAATTCCATCACAGCATGAAAGAGTATCACAAAATTAGTACTATTCCAAAGTTTCGTTGCGAAATGTTGTAAAATGCGGATAATATAGCCTTGCCAGATTTGTAATTTTCAGTCATTTTGTATTACATGTACGCACGGAAGTGGTAACCATTTCTGTTTGTAATACAAAATGACTGAAAATTGCAAATTTCGCAAGGCTATATTATCCGCATTTTACAACATTTCGCAACGAAACTTTGGAATATTGCTAATTTTGTGATGCTCTTTCAAGCTGTGATGAAAATTTTGTCTAGCCTTGTTGAATAATAATAATAAAAATAAAATAGACGTTCTCTGACCAAAAATATATATTTATTACAAGCTTTCGGCTACCAATCTGTAGCCTTGAACGGGTATGAGTGTATGAAATATGAAACTATAGTCTATTATTGTATATACAGGAAGATTAGCATAATTGCGTATGAAATATGAGTGTGTATTGTCAACTATGACTGCTTTTTTATAAGAACAGTATATTGTCCAGGAAGTGGACATGAATTGTTGTCAGCATCAGTTGTTAAGGAATGTATGCCATGACTCTAGAGTTTTCCGGGTCCTAAAATTTCCCTTATCGATAACTTCCGCGTTTTCAAAGTCAATCCTGTGGTCATAAGTCCATGCATGAAGGCTACAGATTGGTAGCCGAAATCTTGTAACTGAATATATATTTTTGGTCAGAGAGCGTCTGTTTTATTATTATGTTTCATCCTGTCCGCGCATCTGCCTTTTCAATAGACTTGTTGAGTTCAAAATTTTGGTCAATGTCGGATTGGTCCATTCATAGTAAGTGCTAGACTTGCCACAAGTCGACCTTGAACGGAAGTGCATGAGTGTCAGGAAGCGCTGTTTCTCTAATGACGTCAATTGCTGTCTGCTGAAGACGTCATTGTTTTCCTTTCCGCCTACATGCATTTAGCATATTTAGAAAATGCATTTTCCAACAAACCTGAAATTAGTGCTTTCGCGAAAATTTTTCACAGTTGTAACCCACAAAAATGACCACAGAGACCTTTAAACCGAAACACTCCGTTATGATAAGCCGAAAAACTTTGTTATGAGAAGTATATGTATTTTTATTTGTATTATGCTCAAACTCGTCTCCACACAAACTATTCTACCTCCTTACGAATTTACACTGATATCACACTAAAATATAGCAACACTGAAATACACGCTGTTGTAAATCATACATGAGAATAAGGTAGACCGTTTGCAACTTGCTGCACTCACTGTAAACTGATTAACAAAGTTTCCTGCTTTTTCTATATTTGGACAGAGGTTAGGTCATAACTGTTTGTCTATAAACTCTATATAAAAATTACGCATTAGTAAAGTAATTTGATTAGTAATTTGATCATTAGTGAAAGGTTAACCTTGTTGAAAAAGCTGTATCTGCCTGCTTTCTAATATCCTCTCGCATTCTCGACATTTCCTCTTATAAAAGTCAGCACAGGCAGGGGCGGAACTAAAAGTGGGTTGTGGGTGTGGAACACCCCCAATTGTCAGGTAGTCGGCAAATTATCTAATCCCAGTTGGATGAAAAGAAATACTAATTAGTGTTTGAAATTGTAGGCAATATTTCACTTACACCCACCCATGGCCACCCACTCCCTACTCAAATAGCACTAGCGTTGCCCCTGAGCACAGAGTGATTTGTATATACCCGTATCAACTGTGTGGGGAAAAGGCCCTTATTGAGACTAAGCCCCAGTAGTTGTAAATTCTTAAAAAATGCCCTGACTACAAAGTTTCCAGCTATGATCAGAGTAGGAATTTCGCATCTGGTAAAATTCTAAGTTTTGACGGGTTTGTAAGAAATGTTTGAGGGAACTGACCAGGGCTCGAATTTTATCGCGGCAATTGCCGTAGAGGGAGAACAAAATGCCGTGGATCATTGCGGCAACGACGCCAATTTTTTGCCGTATAGTGCAATTTTTATACTATTCACTGTGCATTACTACTTTGATACTTGAATTCTGATGTTGATCAAATCATGTGTAAATCACTATTTTAGTCTCAGTTTTCTTGAAAAAAAAAACACACTAAAGAAATACGTAGACATGTTTCTAGCTTGTCAACAATCCAAAGTAACAATAAAATTAAAGTTTTATTGCAGTAATTTGAAAAATTACTGGCCGTGGAAACTGCCAAAATTGCCGTAGACAGCTGTTACGTTCTACGGCAATTTTTAACGCCATTGCCGTTGTATGATTTCAGGGAAATTCGAGGCCTGGAACTGACTGTGTTTTAATTTAACACTAATAACAATGTAATATTACAATGTAAAATTGTACAATACTATCAAAACTAATAAACTTCGTAATTCGTATGCGGAAATTCGTATGCGGCATTCAGTTCTGTTGTAAACCGGTTAATTCCAGTAAAGTAAAAATCCATACGGCCGTACGCGAGAGTTGATTTTTACAATAACACAATATATAATATCAGATAAAACAGTAAAGCAGCCTAAGTTATATAATAGCTTTGTGCTCTCTTTTTCTGCAATGTGTAATATGACACTGTCACATGAATTAAAAACATTTACTGATATGAATTTTTCTGTGTTGGCGTTGTGTACTCAGGTGAATAATATGTTTGCGATGTTATTCTGAGTGCATATCCACACCGGGCGAGCTTGAAAAATATGCCCGGCCACGGTGGGATTCGAACCTACGACCTTTGGAATACTAGCCAAATGCTCTTCCAACTGAGCTACACGGTCAAGACGGTTCGAATAAGTGATATTTCGGAACAGTATCTAGTTCCTTCAATATCAATGTAGGAACTAGATACTGTTCCGAAATATCACTTACTCGAACCGTCCTGACCGCGTAGCACAGTTGGAAGATCATTGGGCTAGTATTCCAAAGGTCGTAGGTTCGAATCCCACCGTGGCCGGGCATATTTTTCAAGCTCGCCCGGTGTGGATATGCACTCAGAGTAACATCGCAAACATATTTACTGATATTTTTGGACATTTGTCGTGTTCGTGCCAGTCAAAATATATGCACGCGCGCCAACTAAAAGGCGAAAATCCTAAAAGAAAGAACGTATCCGATAATTTTTTAGTAGGAATAGTAATTTTAGATGTAGAAGGGTTACATTTATTATATTTATACCAAACCAGGAGCAGTTGCAAAAAATGTAACTGTATAGGCCCCTGACAGGAATCGAACCTGCTGCGGTCCTGCGATTCCTGCATGTGCAGCGCTTTAATCAACTGAGCTACAAAGTCAAACTGTCAAAGGCACATCTACGTTCGATATGGCTAATAAAGCAGTATTTGACTACTATATTTCTGTTTATGATACTGACAATAATTTTAATTATTTGCTATACTAAAAAAAATTCGGGTTTTTCCCTACGTTTATAATTTGCGTCTTTTATGTTGACGCACGTGTATATATTAATTCTTGACTTCACACTGCTGAACAGTTGTCCGAAAATATGCAAATTTGCTTACAAAAGGTCTTTACTCTTTTAGCCGCTAATGTTTTCTTATATATAGTTCGATAATTTGAGAAGTTTACAGATACAGTGGAACCCCGCCTTACGCGGCCAACCCGTTAATACGGTCACCTCGATAATACGGTCACTTTTTTTTGTCCCGGCGAAACACTAATACATTTTATAATAAAGTTACCCGGTTAATACGGCCACCCCGTTAATACGGCCAACGGCCGTATTGTAGAGTCCCGAAGCGGGCCGAACTAAAGAAATCACCCCGTTAATACGGTCACTCAAAAAAATAAATGTGTTTACGGACGGAAATGCAGTATAATTTAAGACACCTTGAGCAGTGAAACACACAATTCAAGTTGCATCATATTACTAATTCTTTTATTTTTATTATCAGTCGCGCAAAGGAAAAGAATTAGAATACAAGGTTCTTTAGCGACGTTGTATTCCCTAACATTGTTTCCTTAAAATTAGTGAAAACTTTATCTGAACTTTATAATGTTTAGTTATTAATTGGTATTATGGTGGGGTATGGTGTTATTGTGATTTTCGAATAAACATAGCTTTAATGACGTCACAATTGAAATTTGATCTCACCCCGTTAATACGGCCACCCCGTTAATACGGCCATATTATTTCGGTCCGTTGGTGACCATATTAACGGGGTTCCACTGTAGAACCAAAGTACATTAACCTGCAATGCAATGCGACGCATGCCAGCAGCGGAACTGCCAACTCACCCGACATAGTCGGGAGTCTCCCGGTATAAACCTGTGATCTGCCAATCTCGTACCCAGAGCAATGCCTGAGCGCGGGCTAGGATGGCATTGGCTCTGGGGAAATAGAATTTTTCCTGTGCTGTGATTGGTTTAACGTTTATCAATAGTACGAGATTATTAGTAGTATTAATGGTACGAGATTGGTGATCTGCCGGCCTCCCG